TTAGTTAGAAGACATTCCATGTTGTAGCTTACACATGTTTGCATCATAGCATTAGGCACTTTGCTTGTCATTCTTTGCATGTCATTTTACCCAACAGACTTCAAATTTGAGAGAAGATAGGAGTTCTGTTCATCTCTGAGACGACAGACCTAGAAAATGTCACTGATTTCCCGTGGCCACTAAGTAAGTCAATTGGCTGTCCCCATTCCCACTCATCAGTTTGCAGATTTGATCCAACTGAAAAATAGGGATGGAAGGATCTGGAGACAGCTTGCCTGTCCAGGTTGTTCAGAGCTGTAAATTGGTGATGTGCCTTTGGGTTTGTCACTTTCTTCTTTGAATATGTCTGCTCAGCCTTTCCTAGATCTGATGCCAGGCTTCAATAAACAGCTCACTGGAATTAAGCTTATTGTTTTAGTCTGTATGTGCTGCTATAACAAAATACTACAGGGTGGGTCATTTATAAGAATAGAAACAGTTCTCGCTGTTCTAGAGGCTGGGAGTCAAAGATCAAAGCATTAGAAGGTTTGGTGTCTGATGAGGGCTGCTTTCTGCTTCAAAGATAGTAGCTGATTATTGTGTCCTCTGGAGAGGGTGAAACTGTCACACATGGCTAAATGGACAGAGGCAGTGAATCCATTCTCCCTTCTATAAGGGTCTTAATCCCATTCATGACATTTTACTCTCATGTCTTAATCATGTCCTAAAGACTTACCTGTTAATACAATCACGTTGGTGATTAAAATATCAACACATGAATTCTGGGGGACATTCAGACCACAGAAAACAATTTCAAGGCAGTGCACCCCTTATTATCAAAGGTTGGAAGTTAAATTTTGTACATTGGCACTCCATTCTTCAGCCTTTCAATGTGATAGTTTCGAGCAACCCAAGCTAACATTAAGGAATGTAAGGTATTAGGAAGCTCTCTTGCAAATTTAACCTTCTGCACAAAGGAGCATGTCCTGATGCAATGCTTACCTTACTCACCTCCCACTGAGGTCTTATGTAATGATGATAAAGAAGGTAACCCTGGATCACAGAAAATCATCATGCTTTAAGGCCCTGACACTCTATGCCTAAGATGGGAGTGGTAGCCTTGGAGATCTCCGAAATGCCTTTGGGATTACATCAGAGAAGAAAGTCTTGATAACATGAACTCTGTCTTTCAGGAGAATAATAAACACATGGGAAAACTTATTTCTCCAATCTATTCATTAATTTCTTCATTTGCTTATTTATTCAGCACCTTCTGTGAGAGGCACAGAGGTGATAAATACTGGGAATATTGAACTAGTCTTTGTTCTTGAAGTCTATGAGGGCAAGTTACATCTCCAGTTGTAGTGATAAGTTAGGCCAGAGGTCAGCAAACTTCTGTAATGGGAAAGATAGCAAGCATTTTAGGTTTCATGGGGCATAAGGTCATTGTTGCAACTACTCTGCCATTGTTACATGAAAGCATAGATTATTTGTAAAAAAAAAAAAAAAAAATAGTCATGGGCATATTCCAACAAAACTTTATTAATTAAGAATAAAATGTGAATTTCATATAATTTTTATGTTTCATTTAATACTATTATTCTTTTGAATTTTTCCAAGCATTTAAAACTGTAGCAGCCCTTCTGAGTTTACAGACTGTACAAAAGCAGGCCGTGTATAAGATGTAGTTGGCAAGTATACATTGCCTACCTCTGATCCAAGGCCTGATCACTGCTATGGTTTGAATGTGTTCTCCAAATTTCCTTTGTTGGAAATTTAATCCTGAATTCATATGTTGATAGTATTTGGAGATGGGGCCTTTGGGAGGTAATTAGGATTAGATAAGGTTACTAAAGAGGAACCCCCAATGATGATACTAGTGGCTTTATAAGAAGAGAAGGAGAGACCTGAGCTGACACGTTCTTGCCCTCTCACCATGTGATGCTCTCAGTGATGTTATGATGCAGCAAGAAAGCCCTCCCCAGATGTGGCCTTTTAACTTTGGACTTCACAGCCTCCAGAACTGTAAGAAATAAATTTCATTATAAATTACCTTATCTGTGGTATTCTCTTATAGCAACAGAAAACAAATAAGACAGTTACTGTTGTTACTGATAGTTTAGATCTGTGATTCCTAAGTCCAGCTGCTGTTCACCCTAAATGAAGATCCAATCTACACTGTATATTTAATCCTCACCTCTCCCCGAACCCCGCCCTTCTACTTCTCTCAATCTCCTGACCCCAACTCTCATTTCACAGGTCTTTCTATAAAACAGAAATCTTTTTACAAATTTATGACACTTCTGGGGACATCTGGGGGCTTTTTTTTTTTTCCTGTGAGAAAATGAAAAGGACTCCAGTGACTATTTGGTCTTGAAACAGTTTAATTCAGTTTTTTTTTTTTTTTTTTTTTTCTTTATTCCCTTTCCCTGTCTCCATTCCAGAAATTAACATAAAAATTCATTCTGGCTAAATTCCCAATACATTTTTACAGTGAGCATTTTCTGAAGTGAAAAGTAGTAGCTTCCTTGCAGTTTTCATCAGAAATGTGAAATTGTGGAGCTCACAGGGGTAGAGAACTCAAACCCCATTTATGAATTAATACATGCTGTTGAGGGTACCTCACTGTCTGCAGAGTGCTGGGGAATCTTTTCTACAGAATCTTGAGTATCTAAATAGTGTATCTTAATTTTCTTTCTCATTCTACCAGTGAGAAAATACCATTTTCTATTTGCAAAAATGAATTACTATATAACAACTAGTACCTATATAAGATTACATTATTTACATCATCCTTAGGGATTGCCAGCATCTGGACAAGTTATAATGTTTCTTTCTAGTTCCTCCTCCTGCTCCTTTCCCCCTCCTGATTTTTATCCAAGTGACATCTAGTTACAGTGAGCATTAAGGGCAACTTCAAATGGGAACCACTGTTAGTGGGGATAGACATATGGTAGAGGGGTGAAGGGAGATGACCTCTGCCTTAGTCTAGTTCTAGCCACTTGGTTCCCAAAGCAGCCTCGAATCCTTCAGTCTCAGGATCTAAGCAACTGAGCTAGCATCCTATTTTTTTTCTTGTAATGGCTCTGGTTACTCAAGTCTAAAACCTCTAATGGTATAGCATATCTGGCTTCTATGGGAATTTATAGGGGCCACGGAAAAATAAATCAACTTTGTAATTGTTAAAAGCATTTGCAGGCCGGGCGCGGTGGCTCAAGCCTGTAATCCCAGAACTTTGGGAGGCCGAGGCGGGTGGATCACAGGGTCAATAGATCGAGACCATCCTGGTCAACATGGTGAAACCCCGCCTCTACTAAAAATACTGAAAATTAGCTGGGCATGGTGGCGTGTGCCTGTAATCCCAGCTACTCAGGAGGCTGAGGCAGGAGAATTGCCTGAACCCAGGAGGCGAAGGTTACGGTGAGCCGAGATCGCGCCATTGCACTCCATCCAGCCTGGGCAACAAGAGCGAAACTCCGTCTCAAAATAAATAAATAAATAAATAAATAAATAAATAAATAAATAAAAGCATTTGCAGGCTAAAATCAGATAGGTCTGGATTTGAATCTTAGTTTTTCCAGTGGGAAGCCATTATAGATATTAGAAAAAATAATTAATTTCTTTATGTATTAGTTTTGGTAGCTATGCAATGGAGAAAAAAATATATCTCATAAAATGAAGATGAGGATTAAATGGGATAGTAAATGTTCAATAAAAGGCCGAGGAGAGCATTTAGGAACAACTCCGAACAAATGCTGCCACTCAAAAGAGTTTTCTCTTTTCCCTCTTCGTTCACGCTGCAAACGTTTGTTAAACTCTTGCTGCTTTTTAAGAGTATAGATAAATAAAATAGATGTACAAAATGAGATGGAGGAGCTTGCATTTGAGTATAAAAGGCAGCCATCTACTTCAGCAAGGGTGTAAGTATAAAACAGAGGCATGTCCTGGCTGAGTGGCCCCCAGAGGTCAGAGCCATCGGCACACCTGAGGATGTCAAAGAGGAAGTGGATGAATAGAAGTTTTTCAAGTGGTCAAGGGTGAAAATATGTTCCCACTAGCGGGATAGTGCAAGAGTTTGGTATTGCTAGAGTTTAAGGCAGTGAGAATGAAGAAAGTGGTCACAGAGGCTGGGGAGGGATGCTGGGGCCAGTTGATGCGGAGCCCTGAATGGCGCAGGAAGTTTGATCTCTGTCATACTCGGGGAGCTTTCCCACGTGGGAAAAAGCAGAATGATATTAATCAGGTGATGTTCTTCCCACCTCTGAGTGTGGCTGACCCAGAATAGAGACAGCAGAAAGCTCAGTCACCACCGATGCGTCTAACCCTTCACTTATACATGAGGAACCTGAGGCCAGAGATCAAGTCATTCTGCAAAATACTTGACCAAGCAAGAACAAAACAAGAATAGGTTATCTGAGTCCAGCGCCTAAACGTCCTCCACAGTAAGATCCTCATTTAAATCCAGGCTGCTTCATCTAAGCCCTACGTTCCATGTACTTGATTCCAATACAAGTACTATTTCGGGTGCTTTCCCCCACCTTCTGAAAGCCAGCACTATCAGCTCTGCTTGCTGGAAGTGGGGATCTCAGGCCAAGAAGGGATTTTCCAAGGAGGAAATGAGTCGATTGTAATACCTTACAGATGCAGAAACAAATTCAAAACCCAAAACAGATGGAGAGACTTCCTTCTTTTCCTTGAATTTGCACTCGCTGTTTTACCACTGGAAACCACCGCATCACGCAGTAGCTGCTCCCCAGTCCTTCCTTCCCCAGGGCCCAGCAGGAAGCACGCCAGCCAAAACGTGTGCTTGTGGCTGTTTATATACGCGCGCGTGTTTGTGTTTTCAGATTACGGGTACCTGGGGAACTCGCGCCCCAGAGCAACGGAGCAGGGGCTCGCCTGGGTCTCCACCCATATCAGGGCCCAGAAAAAGGGGTAGAAGCTGGCATCACTTCCAGCTTTCGCGGGCTCGGTTCCAGCAGCGCCCTGGGCGCTCGCCTCTCTCCTCCCTTAGCAACCGGGAGGCTGTGGATACCGCCAGAGGGTGGGGGCTCGGGAGGCTGCGGGTATCCTGGGCGCCCAGGGGCGGCGGCGGCCCAGCGCAGGTGCCCGCGCACAGGCAACCTCAGTGCGGAGCCACCCCGCGAGCGCGACTGTCGCAGCGCCAGCGTGCACGGGGCCCACGCACCCACCCTCCGCACCTGCCGCGGGGTCCAAAAGGGATCCTGCAAAAATGAGCCATTCTCACCCAGCTGGGTAAGTGACAACTGGAGCTTTTCCACGCTGCGGCAGGTGGCGGCTTCAGCCAGCGGCCCCTCCTCCCTCCTGCTTCGGAGGGAAGGGGCGAGAGGGGAGCGAGGGGGAGGGCTGAAGAGTGGAAAAAATATACTAATTCTGGGTTGCAGGGAGGATGGCAGACATCCCAGGCATCATGTCTCCTCCCTCCCCTTCCTCGTTTATTTCACCCACGTTCGCCCCTTTTGAAATTTTCACCCTGGAAGGATTATAAAATGGATGTGAAAAACGCACACCTTAAGCAAGGACCTTCGCTGGGATCAAGAAGATCCTGTGGTGTGGAACATGTGTGTTTAGATGCAAAAGAAGAGATTACCAAAATATACATTCGTTTAGAGGCTTGAGACTGAGATATGCAGTCTCACCGTAGCTTGCATATAAACGAAGTGTGCGTTTATTCAGTATTGAAGGAGGTTTCATTGGGAAGATGGAGTATTATTTCAGGGTTTTTATCGGCCCAATCTCAAAAGGATCATAAGGGTCTTTTAAAAGTATTTTAATCAAGGAAGGTTTTGTGGCACAGAAAAAGAGAGGAAGGAGTTGTGTGCCTGTGCATTTACTCATGATCTTCAATTGCTTTAGGTAGGTGAACTCCTTAGAGGACCTATTTTGGCAATATTCAATGTATTCTAGAAAGAACACCATCATTATTGGCTGTTGCAAAAAAAAAAAAAAAAAGATTTTTTTAATTGCAAGGGAGAATATCCAATTTCCTCCTAAATTAAACAATGTAATGCATATTAGATGGTTTTTTATTATGATACATCTAGTAAGAAGATAAATATTGTAGTCAATGTTGCAATTAAATTGAAGATGCTTTCCTTTTTAATTGCATTTATTGCACATTTTTAGGAGCAGCAAATTAGCAAAGGACAACATATTTGAGATCATTTGGAGTTTGTGATGTTTGAAATACCACATTAGGCATTGTGTTGGAACTTATACCCAAACTTCAAGATTTTACTTTTTAATGAATTCTAGGAGTGTAATAACATAAATGAGAATGTTCGAAAAAACTAAAGCCATATAAGGTACCATATTGGAAATTCGTTTCAGAACTTTTAGAAAAGTGATACAGCTATGATTAAATGAACTTCTTATTTTATCTCAAGTTGAATTTAATTTAGGTACCTTAACATTTTGGTGCCGAACTGCTGTGCAATTTTAGTTAACTGTGGGTCACATAAGATGTAAATAGCACTATTTTTCTGCAGCTGATGTTTGCAGTATGTTTGCATTTGGGAAAATAAATGTGTCAGTCATGGTTGTCTTCCTATGTTTTTCAAGTTTTGGCTAGCTAGAATCTGATTAGACCATTTAATCATTTATTTTAAAATGTGAAAAAAAAACCTGCAGCTATTTATTAAACTGAGCATGATTAAGATTTCAGAAACTAAAATCAAATTTTTCTGAAGCTCCATTAGTTCCAAGCCTACAGGGAAAAGGGAAAATTTATGATTTAATGAAAGAGTATGTTTCATGGTACTCTTTGGAAAAGATATTAAGACAGCAACAAATACTTCTCACTTAAACGGTAAGTTTCTGAAAAGTAGGCACCATATCTTATTAATTCCTCTGCCACCATTACTTAGGACAGTGTTTAGAACAAAATTAAACTCAACAAATGTTTATTGAATAAATTATATCACTGGATGGTGAATCCAAACTAGAGGTGCATGTATTCACAACTGAAAACTTTGTTAGAACTAAATATTAAGTGTATACCATGTGCCAGGCTCTATTCTAATGTTTTACATGAACTATCTTATTAAATCTTCCCATCATGATGGTTTTTAGTCACCCTCATTTTTACAGATAAGAAATTTGAGGACTGAGAAGTTTCTAGAGTTAGCACTGCTAGGAGGGGTCAGGGCTGGAATACAAAGCCAGACAGCATAGCTTCAGAGCCACTGCTCTTCACCATCACCCTATATTGCCTCACATAGTCAGCAACTGAAATGTACAGGAGCCTAAATATATAAACATTTTTGTCTGGATTAGACCACCATCTGACAGAGGATGGCCGTATGTAAGCATCTAGTATTTTGATAGCTGATTAGAGGCTAATTTTGTAATAGTGTTGCATGTGTACATATTTTTTGGTTTTAATTTATCAAAAGTAAATGAAAACAGTAAGCATCAATACAACAAATCTAAATGTCTTAAAATTCACCCAAGAACAAAATTATTTGAATTGCTAAAGTTTTTCCTCAAGTAAAATTAGTGACTTTTTCTTGCTTATGTTACCATTTGGAAATAATAAAAGTTTCAGCAGCAAATAAAAGTTTTTATTAAAGCTGAGAAGGCTTTTCTATCATTACTGAAGCAGTTTGTACTTATTACATTTTAAGGATAAAATGGTAATAAAGTGCAGTTACATACTAAAACAAAAATTTTAAATCCCTATAATGTCACCAATCAATAAATGGTGTCCTGATTCCTTCTTTTAGTGCTTCCTTTGATTTCTATTGCTTACTAACTACAGCATGAAGCACTTGATGTAAAAATTGCAAAGGGCCTGTGCTGGCTTTGTTCAGATAGTTTGGAGTAAATAAAAATGGTTTTTAAAACTTCTGCCAAAGACAATAGAGATTTTGAATCTGAGCTGCATCATAATTTGGTGGAAGTCAACTATAAAATGCCATTTCCAGCATTGCTATCTCTAGTGAAATTGTTTCACAGTGAAAAATTAGAATTCATTGTCCCTCTGGTTCACTAAATCTCACCCATGTTGCTATTTGTGTGTGTGTTTCTGGGTTGTGCACAAGTCCTAGAGGTGGAATATGGATTTTATATCCCTCAGTCATGCATGAGGATAAAATGATATGGCTCTTCTGTCTCCTTCAAAGGATCATCACTGAATTCATGTGAAGTTGGCTTTCTCTGTGAAAGATACACTTGGTTCTAAGTAGAGATAGTCACACTCATCTGTAAATTTTCTTTGAGGAAGGAAAATGAGAAGCATTATAGCTCACCACAAGAAAAAAATGCAGAAGACATAGGTTTTGAAAGACTGTTCAAAGGTTTAGAAGCATTTTTTGTTAGTTTAGACTTTTCGTTTATATCTTTTTAATGTAAAGAAGTGTTTCTGTAATGACAGAGTACGCTGAAGTGTGGTAAAGAAATAATTAATACATCCTTAGGACTGTCTGATAACTCCATCCTTTTTCATTAAAGGCAGAGTAAAGGTCATTAGGTCAAGTTGTCCATTTTACATAGTGTATGTATCCAGGAGAAACATCAATGATAAACCATGTTATTTACTACAGGAAGGTCCATTGCATTCCTAAGTAGCAAATGTTTCTTGCCTTGTGAGTTAGTAAACTGGAATGTACTTTGGATAGTTACAGTACCATTCATTTGTTACCCAGTCCCACCACCAAAATTCTCTCTTTCACACAGAATTTCAGACTTTAAGTCATTAAATACTTAAATTCAACTTTGGTAGTTTCTATTCATCCTCCTGTTAAATAATAACAAATTAAGGAGTAAATTGATGCTGCTTAAATGAGGTGAATTAAACAGGCTCATTTGTTGTGGCTTCCTCTGTGAAGAATTTCATGTTATAGATTCTGCTCTTTTAAAAATATATGTAGATGTCATTTCTTCTCATACTTCTTTAACAAAACATGTTCACATAAGTAGACGGGAATGGAAAGGGGTTTGCTATGGCAATGTCATTTAATTCTTTGAATTTTTTCAGAGTTATAATGCAAAAATCACATAGTGATTGCACACACAAAAAATGTTTTTGATGATCTTTCAAATGACAACTTAATTAGGTCCTTCTTCTATTGTACTGAAAGCTAAGGATTGGAAACTACAGTGTTTGACTTGCAATTGGATTTGCTGCCCAGTCATGAAAGTCATTTATTGTATCATTATCTGTGCAATACTTCAAATTGTCTGTTTCTCAGATGTTTTTCTAAGTTCCAAGCACTTAAATAAGACCACCAGATGAAGAGAGATGTGTCTTTCCGTTGTAAAATATAAAGCTAATTACAAAAAAGTCGGTGGAAATCAACATGACTGGAAGTGCATTTTTCAGGAAGATCAATTTTAGGGGCGTACAAAGCAAACTTGAGAAATAGAAATTGATTCCCTTAAAACAATTGCATTGGTCCCTTCTTACACTGCTATAAAAATACTACCTGACACTAGAAAATTTATAAAGAAAAAAGATTTAATTGACTCATAGTTCTGCATAGCTGGCGAGGTCTCAGAAAACTTACAATCATGGTGGGAAGCAAAGAGGAAGCAAAGCACGTCTTACATTTTGGCAGGAGAGAAAGCAAGTGAAGGGAGAGTGTCACACTATTAAACCATCTGCTCTCGTGAGACCTCCCTCTCTATCACAAGAACAGCATGGGGGAAACTGCTTCTATAATCCAGTCACCTTCTACCAGGTCCCTCCCTCAACATGTGGGGATTAAGATTTGAGATGAGATTTGGGTAGGGACACAGAGCCAGACTATATCAACTATCCTTATCCAAGTTCTCCAGAAAATGTCTTTGGGTTTCTCTCAGTCTCTGCTGAGAAAAAGCTTCTCTAACTAGGAGGTCAGGTGGAGACTTGCCCAACTTACTTTGATTATTAATATATCCATACAAGGCTTTCAGGAAGATGAGAAAATAACTTCTCTTACTGAATTCTGAATTTAAAAATCAGCCTCAAATATTCTGAACCTGAGGTAAAGTTTAATTATTTTTGAGATTTGTAATTTCCAGTGATATCCTTTTCAATGAAAACTTTAGCCTCTGAAGGTAGTACTGAAATAATCTTCTAACCTTTACTTATTCATTTTGGTACAGACTAAGAGAAGTTGTGTGCAGACGAATTATTGGGTTTTCTCCTGCTATGACTTACTCACTTTCCCACACAAATAGTTGAGAATGGTGTATATTATGGAATGACTCTATAAATGTCAATCAGTTTAAATAAATCTGTCAAATCAGGTGAG